TTAAATAAGTGTGCTTATATATATATTTTTTAATTACACATTCTAATTAAAGTGTGATTATTTATATATATTTTAATCACACCTTCTAATTAAAGTGTGATTATATATATACTACTACTTTTTAATCAGTGTGATTATATATATTTTTTTTTAATCACACATTCTAATTAAAGTATGATTATTTATATATTTTTTAATCATACCTTTTAATTAAAGTGTGATTATATATACACTACTATTTTTTAATCACACTTTTTAAATGAGTGTGATTATATATATTTTTTAATCACACATTCTAATTAAAGTGTGATTATTTATAGATATTTTAATCACACCTTCTAATTAAAATGTGATTATATATACATTACTACTTTTTAATCACATTCCCTAAATAGGTGTGTTTGTATAAAATATTCCAATTTAATTTTTATATAAAATATACAATTCCCAAATTTATTTATTTTTTAAAAAAGCTCCCAACACCAAAACACAAATTAAAAAAAAAAATTCAAAATACATTTAACTCTTTAACTACTTCTAATCAAAAAGGAAATATATATCCTTTATAATTGATCATTTATATGAAAATATATATCCTTTATAATTGATTGGAATGGGCCACAGATCTTTCCATACAACAAATAAATGGCTGAGATCATTTTACACATTAGAGAGTTCCCACCCATCACACACGCGCAACAGCTTCTTCTTTTCTTCTTCTCTTGTGATTCACATCGACACAACCTTTGTGTCTCCTCCTCTTCCCCGAATTCGGATCCTCTTTCCCAATAGACACTCACCCTCTTCGCTATAAATGGTGCTCTTCATTTCCCTTACAACCTTTCGAAACTCATTGGCTTGGGAAAGACCTGCAATTTTGGTAAGGTTCTAAACCTAGAGTTTGTTTCTTTTCTTTTCTGACACCCTTCCCTTCTTAAATTAGGGCATCTGATTAAACTATTTGGATTTCAATTCAACGATTTCTGGTTGGGGGTTTTGATTTTTTTTTTTTTAATATGTATGTATATATGTATAAGCTCAAATTAATTACAGTAGAGATGTTTGTTTATATATGCTTTTGAAGGTGGCAAACGATCGATTATGCTCAGTTGAATCACAGTACGATTACATTCTTCAATTTCTCCAAACCAGAGACCGCAGCTTCTCGCTGGAGTCGAGTCACGTTGAATGCTTCCAAGGTCATCTGCTTCTTCCTCTTCTTCTAAATTTTTTCCCCAATTCAGTGTAATTTCTAAAAATAATTATAAAATCATCTATGGTAAACTTTTACATCATTAATAACCAAACTCTTTTCAAAAATTTTCATGAATCTGTAATAATTTTCTTAAAATACCAATTAATCTAATAATTAAGTAGTATTATATTATTATATGTTCAACGAAGTGACTTAAGATTATCATGTTAATTGTGTTGGGTAGGTTGGTAAGGGTTTGTCCAAAGACACCAAAGCACAGAAATTGGCTTTCCAACACTAGATTGAAGCTGTAAGTTTTCCTTACTCATCTCTATAGATGGACCAAAGGGGAGAAACCTTCAAAGATTGGAACAAAAAATCCCCCTTATTTTGTTTGTGATTACAATGAATCTCAATTACAATCATGTAGAATAAATCAACAATTTTTGAACTTGTCTTTTTATTTATTTATTTATAATTTAGATGCTAGTGCTTTCATCATGTATCCACTTCTATATATAACTTGTTTGATTGAGTATGTGCTTGTATATTAATTGCATATCAGATTGATAATAAATGTTGCCTCAGATTCTCTATTCTATTTGACTAAAAAATTTCAGTGAATCAGGGTTTAAGCTATGTTTAGTTTATAGAAATGTTAAATTTCTATTTGACTTAATAATTTCCATAAATATCTATGGCCCAGTATAATGTTTTGTGGAATCAATGATATTTTTTTTTTTTTTTTTGGAATTGGTTAATTACTTTAGATTTTTGTGAAAAGGTTTCAATTTTTTTCTTCAATAACACTTTTAATTTCTCTTAGTTTGTCAAAAGAATTGCCCAACCCTATGACTGACGCTTCACATTGTTCATGTATTCCATTATCTGTTTAAGTTAGCGCAGCTATGTCAACTTTAAGATTGTGATTTCACATTATGTTGGGCCAGTTGTGTTAACATAGAATTTCCACTTTTTGTCTCTCGGTTGGTAGCTTGCTAATTGTTTGCTAACTCCACTGCAAGAAAAAACACCTTTGGTGACCACCTTTTTTGAGTTGGTCGCAAAAAGTACACTAATCTATGACCAACATTTATTTTAGTCACGGATGATTGTGTTTTCGCGACCAACAATTTTTTGGTGGTTAATAGGTAAGTATTTGCGACCAAATACAAAATGTAGTCGCACAAACGTGCTGGCAGGAGCACGTAAAAAAAAGGCGGAACATCAAACCTTTTGGTGACCAGTAGATTGTGGTCACAAAAAGGAAACTGTAACAAAAATAAATGCTTAAATGAAAAACATGTTTAATCCTGAGCCTTGAGCTATTCCTTCATTGCTTCCTCTTTCCTTGAGCTTCCGATCGATTCATCAAACCCTAGCCACCATCTCCTCACTTCATCCCCTGGTTTTGCTGTTCTTCATCTTCGCCTCCGCCTTGTACTTACCAGGTTAGTGTCTCTCTCTCTCTCTCTCAATCTCTCTTTTTGTTCGTGTATATATATATAATCGATTGACCTTCCTTTGTCATTGTTGCAACTCCTCACTTCCAATCGGTTCATCAAACCCTACCACCATCTCCGTTCACTTCATCCCCTGTTTTGTTACCTCTTCATCTTCGGATCCGCCATTTTTCTTACTAGGTCAGTCTCTCTCTCTCTCTCTCTGTTTGTGTGTTTGTGTGTGTCAATATACAACGATTTTTTTTTTGATCCCTGTAATCTATCCTGTTTCATCGAATGCTCTCTGTAATTTGTTAACTCACTGCCCTCATTTCTATTTTTAGTGAAGAATCCATATCTATGTCTATATCTATATCTCTATCATTTGATTTTCATACATATACATTCTGATTTTTATTTTTTTTAATCTCTATCATTTGATTTTTATACATAGACTTTCTGATTGATTTATAAACTGTATCAACAGATAGGCTGTCTCAAGCCAAATGAACTGTATTATTTTAGTTCTAATAGTTCCGAGTCACATGATAATTACAAATCCACTCTTATGGATCTTTTTAGTTTACAGATATTTTAGTCTTCATGACTTTTTTGGGTCCCTAACATCAATCAAATACTCAAAAATGAATAAAAGCTCAAAATAGAGCACTGTTTGATGAAAATATGTTCTTGCCTAGTGAGCAACCACCTTCAAGACACCACATAGTGATTCAAGGATTGGCAAGTGGAATGTAACTTAAGGTTAGCCCTAGTTTTATGCACACTCATGAAATGATGATTTATTTGCTTGGGTTGGCTTGTTGCATTTCTTCAAGTTGTTTGGAAATTGTGCTCTTCTTATAGCAGAATCTGAGTTTCAAGTGGCTCTTGGCATCTTTAAGCTGAAAAAACATATATATATATATATATATATCTGTTTAGGAGAGTCTATTTGACAAGCCACTACCTTTAAAGATCAAATCCTTTCAACAGTTTTGCTTTTCTTCCTCCTCATAGACTTCATGAACTTGCCCAATCTTGTGTCCCAACTGCCACAAATATAGTAATAGCACCAGTAATGGAAACATTATCTTCTCAGATAATGAGTCAGAAATTCTAAATTTGTTACAGCCATCTCATCATGTTACTGCATGAAAATTTCATAAAATTGTAATTTAGGCTTCTTTTTTTTTTTTTTTTTTTTTTTTTTTTTTTTGTGGAAAGACCATGGCTAAAATGGATGAAAAAAGAAGGAACATCATACAAGTGAACAGCCTTCACATTGATAATAAGATACTGTTTGAAAAACATTGTTGATGGTCACCTCTTGGTGGTGATTGCTTGGTTGAAGAAATATTATAGAATATTGTGGTAAAGTCAAACCCTAATGTGTTGGTAAATGTTGCATTATGGGAATAGGATGTATTATTTGGATTTCAAACTATTTCATAGTTAAATATGGAGCTTGAGCATAAATCGGATAGATTCACTGTATTGGCAAATGTTTGATACATTTTTAATCAGATTTTCTTTGGATAAAAATCTTTTGATGACAGAATTCGACTAAAGAATGTGTTGTAAAATTGCAATTGTGGTGAGCCGTGGCGTGTGGTGTAGTCGTATGATTATATCTTCTCGATGATTTTCCTTTATCTTTATCTTATACTTGCTGCTATAGTCCTATGCTATGATAATTCCCAAAGATAGAAATGTAAGTGGCCTGTAAGTGGCCTTGCAGCTTCATGTGCATATGAACTATGGTGTTTGGCTCTGAACAACTTTTGTTATTCACAACTTATGCTAGATGCCATGCATCTCCAAAACAGCATGAATGTCTAGAAGTAACTTCAAAGTATTATGTAGTAGTTAAGGCTTATATCAAGGATTTAAAAGGAAAAAATTGATTGCATTTATCCCAATAATAACAATTTCTTAGCAATTTATCTTAATCCAGCAAGTTTCCACAAAGAGCAATCAAGGTTTTTAAAAGAGGGTACCAGCAAAGCAGACTTCATTTATGATGCCTTGAAACTGAAATTATATGAACTTTTAAGGCTCTAATGTTCAGCAAGCAACCATCCATACAAAATTGCCCCGTCGCAGTAGTCACGTACAATAGTGGCTCTTTGTGGCAGCTTTGTGCATTGTAGCAGCTCTTTGTCCTACTCTTTGTTGCATCATTGGGGCAGCAGCAGCTTGTATTTGGTTCTTTGTGCATTGTGGCAACAACTTGCTGTAGCAGCAGCTTCATGCTGCAACAGCAACTTATTGGTTCTTAATATTTTTCTCTTCTTTTCTTGACAGCAGCAGCAGTATTCAAATTGTAATGAATTTTTTTGTTGATAATTTCATGACTTGTAATGTGGTTCTAATATTAGACTATTAGGTTATCTTATAATTTCATGAATTGTCATGCATTTTAAATTTTTGGTTCTAGTTGCTTACAATTCATTTGTTACATACAAAGACTATACAGATGCCACCTGGGCAAGCCAATAAGAGGAGGTCGACGACTTCACTGTCAGAGGCAAACCCAATTGAGGTCCCAGCTCACATGTCAACAGCTCCATCTTCTGTGGATGCATCTGCAGGTTTATCTCCTGTGAATGCATCTCCATCTTTGCAAACAGCTGATATTGGTAAGTGTTTCATCCTTTGTATAGAACAATTTGATTTTTGCTCTTGAAACTGTAATCAATGTTGAGTAGTTACTACATGCTTTCTCTTTTTGGAGTGATTATGATAAAAAAATTTGTTAGTATTGAAGTATGACTCAGTGTATATAGCAGCAACAACCTATATATTTAATATTTTCTTTTGGTTTACAAGTATACGAGTGTGTAGTGAAATATATATATATATATATATATATTGTGGTGCAAAAATGTGTATTCTAATTGAATGTCCGTAGAGCCTTAGTTGGCAATAACAAGTAGGAGACTTAAGGTATCCTCTGGGTGTTATTGTGAAGGAACTTTTTTACCTTACAATTATTCTCCTTCTGATTAAAGGCAAAATACTGAAAGAATCAAAAAAAGAAAAAAAGAAGAAAAAAAAAAAAAGGATAGAAGGCAGTCACTTTAAAAAGAGGATATTATAAACTGACAGTCCCTTTAATTGCTTGACACCTTGAAGTTCAAAGAGCTGCAACACAGACTATAGGTTAAAAGCTATATTCTTGTACTATATTCTTCCCATCTAGCTTATGTATTCTTTCCATTGTTATCAACTTGTACTATATTGTTTCCATCTAGCTTATGTATTTCTAATTTAAAAAACAAAGTATAGGTTAAAAGCTCATTTTCTTTTTTCAACTCAGTAGGGTACAAACAAAAATTGAATTCAAGGTTGGTGTCTTTAAAAAGATAGAAGAAATCATATTATCCTAGACATAGTAATCTTATAATCATGAACATGAAATAATTGCAAGCTTGAATAAAGGCATATACATTCCATGATGCATTAAAGTTGAGAGCTCTTAAAATCTGCAGCAACCTATATAGCAGCAGCAACCTATGTACATTCTATGATACATAGTCAAACCTGATTGATTTCATTCGGATTTAGGTACATAGTTGGATGGTTGGGGGACATAGGTTGAGGTGCCTTATTTTCAGTACATGACTTGGTATCAAATTAATCAAAAATCAGATCTGTGGGAAGTTTGGGTAGGTAGTTCCAGGTTGATGATCTGGGGCTCTGTTTTGTGAATGACTGCAGATAGGTAGTTGGTCTGTGCTATGAGGAGATTGGTATTTTTGGATGGATAATAGTGAAGGTATGCTTGGTTAGACTATGCTATGGTTTGTTAAACATGTAAATAATATTTTAGGTGGTTAGACTATGCTATGATTTGTCAAACATGTAAATAATATTTCAGAATAAATCCATTATTGGTTTCTGGTTGGGCAGCTTTAGTCCACCTGCCCGTTTTCTTTTGTGCATAAAGTTAGCTCTTTTTTCTTTGGATTAGATTTGCCTTTGGCATCCCCCAATTTATTTCCACCTTTCTACACCCTCACTTCTCCTCACAATGATCATGATCATCCTCCTTTTGTTTTTTGTGTTTTTGTTTTTTTATGTTTCATCTCAAGTTATAATTAGAATTGGTTGGCGCCATGTGTCTTCATTAGTTTATAAGTAAAATGTTATTTAATAGGAGATAGCTTCTCTTCAGTTAGTGATTTGATTGGAAAAAGATTATTAAGTTTTGGCAGATTTATTTTGGAGCTTATCTTGGTGATTCAAATCATTTATTTTGTATGACCTCATCTCAATATTTATGAATGGCATTACTGTACTTTTATATATTATCATTACATTTTTTATTTGATATTTTTTTATCTATTATCATTACATGACCTTTGTCTGTGGTTAAGTGACTATCACTATATGATTTCAATGTAACAAACTCATCTCTTGTTGCAGGGACCGATTGTTTTATGTGGCTTAAGAAATGGAGCAATTTGTTTTCTGCATGTTCATGTCTTGGAATAATTATTTATTTTTAAATGGAGATGACAACACTCTTCTAGCTATTAATTTGTTTTCTACATGTTCATGTCTGATGATGAGTTAACTGCTGAAATCTTTTAACACAGAGTTTTCCTATATTTAAGGGCACGGATAAAATGTTTGCACAACCCTATTCCTTCTCCTGAGCATTGTTGCCCTGTAGTCATAGTTCATATTCAGCTATCTTAAGATATTTGGTCCATTTTTTCCATGAGAATTGATTATTCAATCAAAGTGATTATTCTTTTTCTATTGAAGCAAGAGATGAAGAGTTGGTATGATGAGAAAAACTCTGACAGTATCTTTTGTAAGACTAGAATAGTCTCTATAAATATAAATAGTTAGTTTATTCATATGCTACTGTAGTTTCTGAATTAATTTGTATTTTCATTTTTCAGGTCAGAAATTTCTTAAAGATATGCAAAATATGGTCAAAGAATTAAAGAACTTTGTTTTTTTAAGTTTTTTTCATTTTTTAATATATGTAATCACAGTTAATTTTTTTTTATTTAATTCCTTTGTATATACTTTTGAATATTTAATTTTCATTTATGAAATATATGACGTTATTCCATTCAATATGTGACTATGATTCAAAGTATAGTATATAGTGTGTATTACATTCTTCAAATGTGCATACAAAAATAATATTGATTATTTTTCAAATATGTTGAACCCTTTTTTATCACAGATTTTATTAGTTATTAATCACTTAAAAGATGTGATCTAAATGTTATTAATCACTTAAAAGATGTGATTTAAATATTTTTAATCACACTTAAAAGCTGTGATCTAAATATTTTTAATCACTTAAAATGTGTGATCTAAATATTTTTAATCACTTAAAAGGTGTGATCTAAATGTTATTAATCACACTTGAAAAGTGTGATTAAAAATGACCCATTTTAACCAGACACCCAAATATCACACTTTAATAAAACTTGTGATCTTAATGTTGTTAATCACTTAAAAGACGTGATTTAAATATTTTTAATCACTTAAAAGCTATGATCTAAATATTTTTAATCATACTTAAAAATGTGTGATCTAAATATTATTAATTACACTTAAAAGATCTAATCTAAATATTTTTAATCACTTAAAAGGTGTGATCTAAATGTTATTAATCACACTTAAAAAGTGTGATTAAAAATGACCCATTTTAATCACTCTCAAATATCACACTTTAATAAAACTTAAAAGGTGTGATTAAATAACATACATTACACAAAAAAAGTGTGATATTTATCTGTTTTTGTAGTAGTGTCTTCAAAAAGGAAAAGGTGAAGGAAATTTGCATGAAATATAAGATAATTTTTTTCTCCATTTCCTCCCATTTTCGTTTATCTTTCCAAATCCCTACCTAAATGCATAATCCAAACACAGCCTTACTGTGTTCGATATAGATGAAGATAATGATGAAAGAGAAATTTAACATCAAACCTCTGAGGATGGCAGGGGCAAAGAAGCTTTGCGCATGGGGCCTTTCTAGGTTCTGCTAGCTGTTAAATCTCTCGAAGTTGTTATGCTATATCTTCTACAAGTTGCAGTTGAAATTTTTCCCTTTCCCGATAGTCCACAGAGAAGTTGAGCTTCTGTCTTTGTTCCTGCACAATGCTTAACCTCTCTCCGAGTCACTCAACTTCCATGTCAATTTTCAATCTTACATTGTCAGCTGCTGACATCAAATTTTTCTGCAGACCAGAAACTATAGATTTCTCTACATACCCTTGCTTGAAAATCAGCTTCTTCATCCCATCCGGAAATTCATAATTCCTCTCCAAGAGGAAGGGTGTACAGTTTTGCTTATCAATAGACAATACCTCATTAACTGAACTTTTCTCTTTTACAATTTCCTTCTTGTCAATGGATTCACTACCTGTTGGAGCATCAGCCTGTTCTCTCTGTGTTCACCATTTACTGAATGTCATCTTGTAACTGTTAATTTCCAATATGAATCATCCGCCTATAAGCTTCAACTTCCCTTCCCAAGAAATGCTTCTCTTTCTGTCTCCTCACAAGAATTTCTTTACAGATGTTCATTTCTTCAGCATCACAAGTAGATTTTTCTTCTATTATCCTCTGGTATTGCCAAGCCTCCATTTCAATGGATACCTTCTCGTCTTGTAGACGCAGTATTATAGCCATGGCCTCATCTGCAGCTGTAGCAGCAGCACTTCTCTCCTTCTCAAGCTCAAGGTAAAGAGCAGCACGAGCAGCGTGTTCTTCTTCAAGTGCCTGTTCCAAGATTCTGATTGCATTTCTCTCATTACCTTCATAACCCAGTTCCTTCTGCACATTACTCTTTATCTCTTCATAGGATGATTCACTTTTCTAAGCTAGTTTCTTTTCATGAAGAATTCCATCCAACTGAAAGCCATGTAAAGCTCTATCCCCAAAATTCTTAACAATTGGAGCATCCTCGTCATCTAAATCACATACCACACACAATAGCATTGTCATGCATCGTATTAGCAATAACCTAAGCATGGTTCTATCAATGCTTCCATTTATGTTTTGTAAGATTCCATGTAAAATCTGATACACCAACCAAGAATTCATGACAATTGTTTTGAAATGGGTGCAAAGCTTATGCCCTGAGGAGAGCACAAGGAATAATCCTTGAGGTTTAAACATTCACACTAACAGTTTAAATCGCTAATTGAAAAAGAGACATAAAAATTATACTTTAACCCTTGCCATATATGTATTGGTGGTAGTCCATTTGTTTAAAACCAGAACAACCTCTTCATTTCTTTTTTTCTTTTTCTTTTTCTTTTCTTAAATGCATTTTATTTGTTCTTTCTTCTTTATTGTCAATGTTTATCTGCATTATATCCACGTTAAGTAAAAAAGAGGCCAAAGCTGTATTATGTATCTACGACTCAGAGAGAAAGAAAAACTACAAATTCTACAAATCTAGTAGTTTGGGATTTGATCAATTAAGAATAAAAATGTAGGTATCATCAAAGAAACATGAAGCACTAACCTAGGGGGTGAGTTTAACCAATAAAAAAAATTAAAAAATTCCCTTACAAGCCGTCTTACACACACACACATAGATGAATAATTTCGATCATCTGAAGGGCTCCTGAACTTTTCCACTTTTTGTTCTTTGTTTTAAGGATTTTAAAATATAACTCTTTTAAAAGCTTTTACTACGTGCATATGGGACCTCCGAGTCTATCCTTGAAAAGCCTAGGAGAATTTAAGAATCCTCACCAAGGAATTTGACATCCCTTTATGGTTTAAAATCCCTTCCCATCCCTTTGTCAAGAATGGCCAAGATTTTTAAAAAAATTATAAGACATAATTTCACCAGAAGGGTCTTCACTGGGGTATTGTGTATGCATTGTCAGTTGAAATTGTGACTTTTCGTGTATAGCATATACAAGAAACCGTTCTTATAAGTTATTGAACTTACAACACCAAGCTTCTTCAATTTCTTTATTTCAGCTGTGTAAGATTACAGCACAACTTATGTTGATTTAAAAAATGAATTCCATCCAACTGAAAGCCATGTAAAGCTCTATCCCCAAAATTCTTAACAATTGGAGCATCCTCGTCATCTAAATCACATACCACACACAATAGCATTGTCATGCATCGTATTAGCAATAACCTAAGCATGGTTCTATGAATGCTTCCATTTATGTTTTGTAAGATTCCATGTAAAATCTGATACACCAACCAAGAATTCATGACAATTGTTTTGAAATGGGTGCAAAGCTTATGCCCTGAGGAGAGCACAAGGAATAATCCTTGAGGTTTAAACATTCACACTAACAGTTTAAAGTGCTAATTGAAAAAGAGACATAAAAATTATACTTTAACCCTTGCCATATATGTATTGGTGGTAGTCCATTTGTTTAAAACCAGAACAACCTCTTCATTTCTTTTTTTCTTTTTCTTTTTCTTTTCTTAAATGCATTTTATTTGTTCTTTCTTCTTTATTGTCAATGTTTATCTGCATTATATCCACGTTAAGTTAAAAAGAGGCCAAAGCTATGTTATGCATCTACGGCTCAGAGAGAAAGAAAAACTACAAATTCTACAAATCTAGTAGTTTGGGATTTGATCAATTAAGAATAAAAATGTAGGTATCGTCAAAGAAACATGAAGCACTAACCTAGGGGGTGAGTTTAACCAATAAAAAAAATTAAAAAATTCCCTTACAAGCCGTCTTACACACACACACACACATAGATGAATAATTTCGATCATCTGAAGGGCTCCTGAACTTTCCACTTTTTGTTCTTTGTTTTAAGGTTTTTAAAATATAACTCTTTTAAAAGCTTTTACTACGTGCATATGGGACCTCCGAGTCTATCCTTGAAAACCCTAGGAGAATTTAAGAATCCTTACCAAGGAATTTGACATCCCTTTATGGTTTAAAATCCCTTCCCATCCCTTTGCCAAGAATGGCCAAGATTTTTAAAAAAATTACAAGACATAATTTCAACAGAAAGGTCACCAGAAAGGTCTTCACTGGGGTATTGTATATGCATTGTCAGTTGAAATTGTGACTTTTCGTGTATAGCATATACAAGAAACCGTTCTTGTAAGTTATTGAACTTACAACACCAAGCTTCTTCAATTTCTTTATTTCAGCTGTGTAAGATTACAGCACAACTTATGTTGATTTAAAAAATGTGAAAGTGCATACACAAAATACACAGATACATGAGTTCAAAAATGAAACACTAATGCCTCTCCTCTTTTTTTTCCTTTTATTTTCAGTTAAGGTGCAAAGCTTCAGATGAAATGAAAAAAAAAATGGATAGAATACAAACCAAGATCAAAATCAACACTCACAATTAAAGTGATTAGCATCAGCTCTAGAGCCGACCGGCAGTGAACTGCATTCAATCTCATTATTCCCTTTACGATCAATGCTAAAATGTGACTGATCATTTGCATATGAAGGGTCATAAGAAACGGGCAAAACTTTTGCATAATCAGCAAGACCTTTTCGACGTCGCCTAAGACCATTCCTTGGCCTCCGATTTACAATCCCCTTACCTTGAGATCAAACCCTCCTTTCTTGACATGAACTGATGAATTCACTACATCAAACCCCCTAACCAATTCATTCCTCAAAATCAAGTCCCTCTCAACCACATTTTGCAACTTCCTAGCACCTGATATTGAGCTACAAGACGCTTCGCCTTCCATTTCAACAAACCCATCAACACAATTGTTTTGATCTTTAATTAACTTCAAATTCAATTGGCAATCTGGGTTTTTCGCGCCAATTGAATCAAAGGGGAACTTTGTGTTCACAGAGGGTTGAACAGAAGAGACTGTCTCAATTGGGCAATCAATTAACTGACTCTTCAAGCAGTAATTGCTATTGGCGTTGCCAAATAGGCCATTAGAAGGACATGGTAAGAAAAGCCCCAAAAAACCCAGAAATTCGGAGGCGAAAAATGCAAGAGTGGATGCAGAGAGTAAGAGATAAGCAATAGCAAGATCAAGAAAAGCACCCACTAACCCACTAATTGTCCATGAATGACTGGCCTGGCATGCCATTTGGGTTCTGCAAAATCCCTTGTTATTTCTTAATTAAGATTCAAAACGAGCACACTACAATCATATACCCTTGTTTGTTTCCAGAGAAAACTGAGGGGAAAAAAATAAAAAATCAATACACAACTTGACCCTTCTGTACTTCTCCAGTAAGATAATAAGACGAGATTCAAAAAGTAGAGGAAAAAAAATTAAAAGATGGGTATGAGAGAGACAGAGAGACAGAGAGAGAGAGAGTTACCAAAAAGAAAGAAAGGACAGGGAATGAGATTCACAGTGAGAAGCTTCCTTTTCTTGTTATTGGTTGTTTGTTTGTTTGTGGTGATTTTTCAAGACCCTAATGTTCAAAGGTAGTGAGTATGAAAAGTCTTTGGGGGTGCAGCAATTGTTACCTATTTCATTGGGTCTATTTTAAGACTTAATTTGATAATTTAAATTGTTCATATTTTAGAAATTATTGAGTATACTAGTAAAAAATCACGTCAATCAGATATTGTCGGTCCTTTCATCAAATCACATTTGCATTTAAAAAAAAAATAATAAATGTAATTTGAAATAAAAAAACTCAATGCAAATATGATTTGATGAAAGAGACAATGATATCTGATCAACGTGATTTTTTTATAAGTATATTCTACTTGATAACTTCTAAAATGTGAACAGTTTAAATTATCAAATTAGACCCTGAAATAGGCCCAATAAGGTGTGCAATAGATGTTGCTGCACACCATGCATAGCAGCAACCCCAAACAGGTATGAAAATAGATCCAAGAGAATTATAAATGAGAAAGGGTAATGTTAGAGAGTAAAAAAATTTATTAAATATCTTACATGGAGTGAGATTCGCTGACACTTATATGGTGTGAGTCCTCCACCCATATAAAATACTTAATAAAAAATTTAATAAATTATCTTTTGGGATCTCTAAGCACTTTTCAAAAAGAAAAGCAACGATATGGACAAGGGTTATTGCTGTTGGTTTGCTCACATGGAAGTGCATGTGCTTTTGTTTTGTATTTTCCATGTAGATATTATGTCCCGTCGTTCAACTCTCTACCTGTCCCTCAGGTTTCGTTTGTTTTTAGAGGTAAAATGGAAGGAATTGATAATGAGTGGATTAATAGTAAAAGATTGTTCGTGAGGGAATTGATATTGAGAGGATTAAGTAAAATTATGTTTGTTTTGATGATAGTTGTTAGTGTAGAGATTGTTAAATTATTATCCTATAAAAGAAATGTAAAATATTAAAACAAATAAAATTATGATTTTTACTTAACAAAAAATACAAAAACATTAACCATTAATGTTAAAAAAAAATGCCCAACATTTAAAAAAAAACTTAAATCGGAGAACTAATTTCCTAATACCACCTCCACATCCACCTCCTCCATCTCAATCCCAACACTAAGACCCATCCTAATCCTATGGGATTATGAATCCCCTCTCCATCTTCCAAAACAAACACAATATATAGTGGGTCTCACCTCCATCTTAATCTCAGATTTGGGGTGGCTGTTGTGCAGGGTGCACAGCAGCCACTGTTGTGCAGTCAAATGGGCCCATTTCGAGGCCCACCTCCATCTTAATCTCGGATTTGGGGTGGCTATTGTGCAGGGTGCACAGCAGCCACTGTTGTGCAGTCAAATGGGCCCATTTCGAGGCCCATTTCGATAATCCGAACTGTTCACATTTTAGAATACATCAATTAGTACATATTTGCAAAAAAATCAAGTTAATCAGATATCGTTTATCCATTCATTCAATCACATTTGTACCCCTACAAAAATAAATAACAATTGTGATTTAAAGTATTAAAATGAATACAAATGTGAGTGGATGAAAGGGTAAACAATATCCGATTAACTTGATTTTTTGTTGGTATGTTCTACTTGACGTATTCTAAAATGTGAACGCTTCGGATTATCAAAATGGCCCATTTGGCAACAAAACAGTAGTTGTTGTGCACCGAGTAGCCACCCCAAATCCCTCAATCTCATTCCCATCTTTATCTTCCAAAACAAACGGGGCCTTACGCTGAAAGATTTG